TGAGAAAGTAAAAAAACGCGAAATATCGATATACCTTTTTCTGATTATTAAAAAAAAAAATTATTAAAAAAATATATAACAAATCCGAACCATTAATAACATCCCCTCTCCTTGCAGTTTCGGATGACAACAGCTCGATACAATCATCGCCCTGGCAGAGAGATCAGCCCTGGAAGCAGTCCCGACCCCGACGTGGCATATCCAAGGAGCTATCTCTCTTCTACCATCGACCAAGGAACAGTGTGCTTGGACGGACTGCTCTCCGGACAGCCTCGCGAAAGCGGCGGCGGCCTCATGAGCCGTTAACCAGCAGCGAGGAGCAGCAGCCGATGTTCGAGGCGGCGCTCAAGGCGGAGAACGGCGACGATACTCTTAAGGCGGAAGCTTCGGAGGCCGTAGGAGAAGGCGCTCCGTCGGAAACATCCGCAAATGAGATTAAAAGTGAAAAACCGGAAACGATCAAATGCGAGGAGGATGCTGAAGGGCCCGAGAAGGAGCCCAAAAAGGAGGGTAACGATGACAGCGAGTCAAAAGAAGCGGCGTCCACCCTAAAGGATGATGCCCAACCAAAAGACGAGACTGTGGAGAAAATGAATACGAGCGAGGACGAGGAAGCCATGACGGCGCCACCCAGCGTAAGCACGATTCCCGTGAACGGTGACCTAAACGGCGAGCTGAAGGCAGGGATTGGGAAACCAAAGCCGAAACCACGGGCCAAGCTCAGCAGCATCATTCAGAAACTAATCGATGGCGTGCCAGCACGCCTGGAGCAAATGTCAAAGACACCAGGGGCAGCAGCCACAACGACTACGGCGACAGCAGAGCGAAGCGGGGGCGGAGCCATCGGAAGTCTTGGTCACCCCTTGACGCATAAGGTGAGTTTGATTGAGCCTTGATTGTTTCTTAAGACACTTGTTCTGACTTTTTACCAAATCAAATGCATTGTTAAATGTAAGCCATTACCTTATTTATGCCTTTCCTAAGTCTTCCAATAAATGAAGTCTGAAAATACTGAACAGAACTTACTATTGCTTATCTTTTTTAAGGTTTCTCCGCCCTCGTCGGGATCAGCAGCCAGCCGTCTAGTCGAGTACCACCACCAGCACGTTTCACCCAGGAAGAGGATCCTACGTGAATTCGAGAAGGTGTCATTGGAGGACAACGGCTGCGTAAACAATGGTAGCGGTGGTGGAAGCAGCGGAGGAGCGGGTGGCAAGCGAAGCCGCGCAAAGGCTTCTTCAACCTCGTCTTCGGCTGGCAAGGCGTCGCCGATGAATCTGGCCCCGCCCCAGGGAAAGCCGAGTCCCAGTCCCGGCTCCAGCTCATCCAGCACTTCACCCGCGGCAGCGACTACGCAGCCCACGCGACTGAACAGCTCCTACAGCATACACTCGCTTCTAGGTGGGAGCAGTGGCAGCGGCAGCTCATCCTCCTCATCCGGCAAAAAGAGCGGCGAACATCCGGCGGCTATAATCAGCAATGTGCATCACCCGCACCACGCCCTGTACCAGTCCGGCTCCTCGAGCTACCCGCGAGCGCTGCTTACCTCGCCCAAGTCGCCGGAGGTGAGCGGCAGCAATGGAGGCGGCGGAAAGTCTCCCTCGCACGCTGGAACCAAGAAGCGTTCGCCGCCGTACACGGCGGGATCGCCGCTGCCAGTGGACTATGGTCATTCCTACTACAGGGATCCCTATGCGGGAGCAGGTCGTCCTTCCACAACGAGCTCGGCGTCGCAGGACCTGTCGCCGCCCCGCTCCTCGCCAGCATCGCCCGCCACGACGCCGCGCACTGTGCCCAAAAAGACTGCATCGATCCGACGCGAGTTCGCCTCGCCGTCAGCCAGCAGCAGCAGCTGTCCCTCGCCCGGAGATCGGAGTGCGTCGCCTCCGGACCGGCGGCACTTACAGCAGCAGCCGCACCTGCAGCGCAGCTCGCCGCTGCACTACTACATGTATCCTCCACCGCCTCAGGTGAATGGAAACGGGTCGGGCGGCAGTCCGACCTCGGCGCCAGTGACGTCGAGCAGCAGTGCAGCTGCAGCGGCGGCGGCAGCAGCGGCCGCAGCCGCATACATTCCCTCGGTGGTGTCGCCGTCGCTTTACCACCCCTACATATCCACTCTGGCGGCGTTGCGGCACAATCCGCTGTGGATGCACCACTATCAGGCAGGAGCTTCGGCGCTACTGCCGCCACATCCACAGGCCAACAGCTCGGCGGCTGCCGCTGCTGCAGCTGCATCTGCTGCTGCTGCTGCGCGACTGTCGCCCCAATCGCCCTATCACGCGTTCGCGTACAACGGAGTGGGTGCGGCCGCTGTAGCGGCTGCAGCAGCTGCCGCCGCTTTCGGACAGCCCGCTCCAAGTCCCCACACGCATCCGCACCTGGCCCATCCGCACCAGCATCCGCACCCGGCTGCACTGAACACCCACCATTCGCCCGCTCACCTGGCCACGCCAAAACTGACTGATAGTAGTACCGACCAAATGTCTGCAGCGTCCAGTCATCGCACCGCCTCCACTTCGCCGAGCAGCTCGAGCGCATCCGCCACTTCCGGCGCCAGCTCCTCCGCAATGTTTCATACTATTAGCCTAAGGAATGAACAAAGTTCAGGTGAGCAATTAGTTGTATTTTACGGCCATGGGGAACATAAACTGCTAAAGAATTGTTTGATTTCCATGGCAATAGTTTTATATGCGCAAGCATATATGGTATAGATTTTTGTGATTTTCGGGGAGATAGTTATAACAATATATTACAATAACTCAATAAAATATATTCACACAACCTTTTTCTTTTCTCCCCAGACTTACCACTGAATCTGTCAAAGCACTGAGACATACACACGCCCCAGCTGCCCCAGTTTCTGGGCCAACCATCGAGTTAAGTACATTATCGCACTAGTAGCGCATAAGACGACATTCAACTACACGTAACATTATTTCATAGGCTCGCTGCTAATTTAGTTTTAACCTTATTGTTTTAGCCTAAGCCTAATCGTAGGTTCACAATTAAGGCCGAACATTTAAATAAGAAATGCGAAAAGAGAAGAAAAACTACGAGGAAAAACTCAACTATGTGTTTTAACCCGCTCCAGAACATTTTATACAAACAGTTAGAAATGGAATTTTCGACAAACATATTTAATATGCAAAAGAATTTTGTTCTATTGCCGACTATAAAAAATGTAATTGTAATTCAAACTTTTTTCTATAGGATGTATAAAATGCAAGTCTTGAAGAATCTCAAAAAAGAGTTACGTTTTTTTTCAGCAAAACATTTCCTTGAAACAGACTGAACCTGATTTTTTTTAGAAACAAAAAATTAAAAACTTAGATACGGATCGCAGCATATAACTTTTTAAACTATATTTATCAAGAAAAGATTTTTATAAAAAGCTTGTGCCTTTAAAGATGAAAATAAAACTAGGGATACAAATTGATATGTAAAACAGAAGACAAATTTACTAGAGACAAATATGCAAACATTAGAAGATGTTCTATGGTAAAAACTTAAAAGATATCTTAAATACCGAGGTCCAAACAAGCAACCGACAAGAATTGGTGTTACGTAGATTATATACAATTATTATTGTTTCAGTAAACTTTTAAATGGATTTTAAAATTGATTTACAATTTTCATTCTAAATCACTTTTAAAATGCCAGAGCTCAAATTTCTTTCATAGAGTCATTGAAAAGATTCATTGACTGACAATAAAAATTAAAATTTCTTTGTAGAAAAGTAAAAAGGGTCATTTGTGAAATTCAATTTTAAATCCTTGAGGGGTCTAAATAGAACCATCACATTTGTTGTCATTTTTTAAAATGTTGTATAACTTTACCTAATGCCAATTCATTGTCTAGCTGTCCAATCGAAAACAAATGAAAATGTACAAAAATGCATATATACAAAATATTTACAAAAAATGGAAAGAAAAAAAGATCCTAAACCGACAAATTCAAACCGGAACTCGTACAACTGAAACTATTACAAATACAAAAATATTCCTAACGCAAAAAGACAAAAAAAGGTTTCTCATATTTTCTAAATTATTTATATAAATCAAATGACTATTTATATTTACGAATATGATAATGTGTAAGTAAATAGTTGTAATTGTAAATACAGTATTTTTACACAACAACAAAGTAAACCGATACATGAGAAATAACCAATATATTTAATATAACTATTTTTATAACGGATTTTAACAAAATACTGTATATTTTGTATCTGATTACGTAGAATAAAAACAAAAGGATTCCATAAGAGGTCAAGAAAAGTTTGCACAAGGTCGATTGAAACTTGCTTTAGATTTGACTCAATGGTCAAAGTTGTTTAAGAAAGAACAATAATGTTTTCCGATGAAAAATTCAAATATTAAATAGCTTCAGATTATGTTAAAGTCACAACACAAAATCCATTCAGTTTGAAAATGTTTAAGCAAGAGTCGTTCGGCCAACTTTTTTGTAAGCGTTACGAAAAAGATAATCTTAACGAAAATAAATAAAATTTCCATACAAATTCCATCATTACGGTTTTTTCTACCAACTGATTAGTTAGTTAGCTAGGCGTCTAGGGACTATTATTTTATTTTACTTTTACAACGGTACTGTGTACGACGTTTTTGTTTTATTGAATTGTAGTTTTTATAATTTAAATATCGATGTCTCTAGAGAGTTGCTGTTGCAAAGCACATGTACTATGTGCATTGTCAAACAATGTGCGCAAGCCCGAAAATAATGTTGGCAAAAAGTGAAAAAGTTATAAAAAAGTAAGCGAAAGGGTTTCAAAATGCTGCATCTCTTGATGTTGGAATGTATGTAAAGTAACGGAAACAAAATACATTTTAAAGAAACATATTTTATATAGGTATATATACTGAAACTGAATACTTGATGTCAATAAAATCTTATACTACATGTGTGACAAGTAACCTCGTAATGTTTTGCTGAGTTGGGGATGGATGTCTTTAAGCCGATTTCCCATTAAAACACATAAGTTATTGAGGCGATTACAGTCTATCGTAAACGTAGAAGCACATTATGTATCTATATTTTTCTTGTTTTGATTAAATTGTATACATTCGTTCGTTTTTGTATTTAAATTGCTTCATTTAATTGTAGATATCCAGCGATTTACAAATTACGTTACACATATTAGGGAACATTATAAAATGAAACCAGTAAACACAAAAATGTTCATTTGTTGCTGGTGACAGAAGCAGACAAAAATTATAGTACACAATTAGTAATGTGGGGATAGAAAATCGTTAATTGTAAACTTAATGAGTTAATGTCTCTTAAATTAATATAGCATAATAGGATACAATTTTTTGCACGTTCATGCGTGGGGGTGTTTAAACAACAAATGAATAATAGACAACAAAACAATTCCAGGGTCCAAGGGTCACTGTATGGGGAGGCGATAAATGGTTAAAAATACAAGAAAAGGTGAACACGTAATTGTACAATGTAACAGTAAAGTATATTGGAGCACTTGTGGGAGCGACATTATCATCTATGGGTCAAGGGGTTGTCTCTGTGTGAGGGGGTGTGGTTATGTCGATTGGTTATATCTCGGCATAACATAGTGAACACATAGCTTTGAACTTTATGAATTGGACACAAAATTGTACTACGCCTATTTCAAAGGCTCAGAAAGGCAGGCAGAAAAGAAAAGTGGGTAGATCGGTTTTTTTTTGTATGGGACATGGGGGGTTGGTTGATTTCTATACGATCGTGTTGCCAAGTTCTTGATGTCGATGTAGTTGTCTGTTTACTGTTTGTTGTTTTTGGAGAAGTTGTGCGAGGCCCAGTTAAGGGAAGTCTTCCAGGAGTTGGCCAAAGCTTCGCTGAATTTCGCTCGGAAATGTTCGCGCGCTTTTTCCTCCGTGTAGTCCAGCACCTGAAACACAATTTTTCGGTTATTTAGTGCTTTCTCAAATAGTTACAGCCTGGGACATACTAAAGTTTCACGAAGGTAGTTCAAGTCCTTTTCGGAGGACAGTTCGGGCAGTCCCGTTGAAATCATCATTGAGAACAGCGATAAAATAAGGCAGCCGTGTTTGCGTAAAACTAAAAAGGCCTGTAAAAGTAAATGTAAATAATATTAATAACCCATCAAAGGCTAACTATATGGTAGGACATACGCGCTCGCACAATTCCTGAAAGTGACAAAACTCCTTCGCCTCGCGGTCATTGCAGCCCTTGTTGATAACGTATACAAAATCGTGTGTCAACACGAAGGGCACTCGCTCTCGTCGCACTCCAAACTTTTCCTTGAAGTGGCCCAGAATGTGACCAAAATCGATGTGAAAGAGCTAAGAACCAAATGATACATTAACCAATTTCCTTGGCAAACAATGTCTTGGCACCCACCTGTCCATTTCTTTTGACCATTATGTTGTCCGAGTGCCGATCGGCCACGCCCAGCACATAGGTGGCCACGCAGTAGCCAGCGCAGCTCAGCGTGAACTCGTTGATGGCCTTGTTTAGCTTGTCGGCGGTCTTGTTGTGCTCCTTGAGCCAACTGTAGAGGGAGCCCTTCTTAAAAGGCGACGTGGCGGAGAACATGCCCTTCTCCTTCTGTATGTTGGCAATGGTCTCAGCATGGCGCACCACCTCGATCATGCCGAGGCGTTGCTCCATGCTGATGCAGTTGTAGATGTTCATGCGAAAGTCCATGCTGTCGGGGAGTGACATAATCGATTATTTCGGTTCTGAATGCCTGAATTCTGCATTATGGCCTACCCATCGCGTTTCCACAGCTGGTCCATCACCCGCAGCATCTGCAACGTAAGCATGTCCTGGCGCAGATCGTCGCCATTCTTGAAAATGATGTGCACGTCGTTGGAGTTCATGTCCGCGTTCTCGAACACCACCCATAGCGGACGCATCTTGCTGTCCATCACCTTGCACCTGTCTGGAGTTACGCCGCTACACCGGAAGCTGGGATTAAGCGGATTTTGGATGTTTTGGAACACCCCCGAGTTGCGCTGATCCCGCAGAAAGTCCTGCAGCATGGTCTTCACCTTCTCCTTGCTGCCCTTCTTGGCGATTAGAGATCCCTGCTTCAGCTTCTCCAGCACATGCAACTGCTTGCGGAGTGGCGCCACGTGATGTTTGCAGCCCTTCAGGTAGACCTCCAGGAGGAGGCCGAACCGCGTCTGCATGGACGGCGTCTGCATCTCGGAGCGCAGATGCCAGAAGAAGTAGTGGCCGATGCGCTGGTTGCGAAGCGCTCGCTCCAGCAGAAACACTACCAGATCGCTATCCAGATAGGATTCGTGTTTTATGGCTTGGACCAGTTGGAGGAGGTACAGAAGCAGGTCCTCGTCTCTGTGAGAAAATGGTTTAAGCTTAATAACTTTGGAAATATCACACCAAGTCAAAATATCTCAGAATTCGATAACAGTACTGAGAAATACCAAATATACAATTATATCTTACTTGAGAAAGTGTAGGCAACGGATGGCAAAGCGTCGCACAGCCGGATCTGGATAGGCGTAATCCAGCAGCTCCAAGGAGCGTTCAATGGAAATTAGTGGCCACTGCTTGAGTAGGTACCAGATGTCAGCCACGTCATCTCGCTCCTTCCAGTAGACGCAGTGAAGGAGGATGGACAGTTCCTCGGGCAACTCACGCATAATGTCGTTTCTTTTGAGACAGATATCGTTACATGGAGAAACCCGTATTTAAACATTTACAGAAGTCAGAAACTTTACCTGCGCTCCCAAATGGCATTGCGGTCCTGATCAACCATCTCGTAGATCTTGTCCAGCCCCGTGTAGTTGGCCAGTAGGTCCTTCAGTTCTTTAAGTGGCTTTTCTGCCTCCGCCTGCTGCTGCTGCAGCTGGTTATCCCGCCGAATGCGATCCCGAGCGTACTGCAACACTACCTCCTCGCTGGGGTAGCGCACGCTTCCGGTTCCGCTGCTGTGAAATGTGAGCTCCACCAGAGCGCACTCTTCCTTGCGCGGGTTCGGTTCGATGGTGCCCAGCGGGTGGAACACCTCGTCCGACTGGATGTCGTCCGCATACGTCCAAGTGTACAGCGTCTGTCGACCGGTGCGAAGGATGTCCTTGTAGTCGAACAGCGTTGTGTTGACCCAGGCCAGCGGGTTCTTGTTGTAGGAGACGTCCTTGAGAGTGCTATCCTTGTTGTTGGAGGACTTCTTGGAGCGCGACATCTTGGTCACCTCGAAAATCACAATGCAGAGGCGCGTCATCCGCGGCAGGTTGCGCATCTGTATGTCGAAATCCATCACCAGGTCGTTGAACAGGAACGTGTCAAAGTTGCCGTTGGGCGAGTCCGTCGATCGTTGGGCGCACAGTTTGTGCTCGCCGTGAAAGAGGCCCACATGGACGCCCACCTTGAAGGCGCGCGCCTTGTCGTAGTTCACATTCGAGATGCTGTGCAGCGTCAGCTGGAAGTAATTGCCCATGTCCCACAGCGAGGAGGGCGTCTTGGGGAGCAGGGCGGGTTGCTTCTTCGGCGGCGGCCGCTTCGGGAAAATGGCCTGCTCGTTGTGGTGATTGATGTACGACTCGAGGCGGTACACCGACTGCAGCACCACATTGGGCACCGCCGAGTCTGAGAGCGTCTCTTGGATGTACAGGAACTGGATCAGCGGGTAGTCGCCGAGTAGGTACTCGTCGCGACCGCTCACCTTGAGTATGTAGTCGGCTGTCCGGTCGTTCATCTTCATCTGCGACCGGTTCATCTTCTGCAGCGTGCTCTCCGTGAGCGAGAAGGGAGTGTCCTGCTCGTTCACCGACAGCGTGAAGGTGCTCTGGTCGTTCTCGTTCTTGACCACGATGAGGAAGGTCCTGGTCGGATGCCGCTCCCGTATCAGTTCGGGCATCTTCGCGGAGTTGGCCAGCCGCAACGGGTGCTCGTAGAGCAGTCGCTGCTGCCAGGTGTAGATGCTGCGCTCCATCTCAATGTTGTCGCAGATCTGCGTCATGTACAGCCGAAAGTCGTCGATCTCGGGCGTGCCCTGCGTCCGGTGGTGGTCGAAGGACTTGCCGATCATCCCGTTGACCATCTTGGTCAGCTCGTAGTCGCTGGAGATGGCGGTGGTGTCGGCGCGATCGCCGAGGCTGAGCAGTCCAAAGTAGGGCTGCACCTCGCTCAGTCGCTTCGTCTCGTCCGTGTACGGTTCGATGTTGAAGGTCGAGATGCCGTACACCTGGTACTCGCAAGCCTCCTTGATCACATAGCTCAACGGCATCTTCTTGGCCTGAGCCACCAGCTCCGCCTTGACCGTCTGGATGGTCGTGGCCGGGTTGACCCTTAGAATCAGTATGAACCCATTGGGTAGCAGGCAGATGAGTTCCACCCAGTCCAGAGGCTCGTTCTTCCACAGGTTGACCGAGAAGCGCGGCTCCATGACCTCCAGTGGTGGCTCATATTTCACCTGGTGCTCCACGTAGGCCAACTGTCGGTTGTCCATCATGGCAACGCCAGCGTGGTTCATAGCTATTTGATCTTCGATACCCGATCGTCGATCTCCTCTCCGTTTCCGCGGATCGGAGGATCACCAGCTCCTCCTGGTTGGGCTATTATGTGTCGTCTTTAATCTTACTATGGCTGGACTTTCCGGCTGTGTAGGTAGTTTCTAGTTCGGCTGGCGCTCTTTTTGTTATCAACAGACTGTTGTTTTCAAAGTTTTCCATTTAAATCAGCTCGGCAATCTCATTGTTAGTCATCTCTGTGAATAATAAATCAGAAGGTGGCGCCGGGTTACTCGAAAGCAAACATATGGCGATTGCCGATCGACTGTTTTGGTGCTTAATTACTGACATTACTGAGAATCGATCGCCCACCCGTTGATAAGGTGACCCCCTAGCTTCCCTCCCAAGATCTATAGAGATCCGTCGTAAAATAGAGTCGGTTTTATCCGCCTCTAACCACCTGGGATAATCCCTCCTCCACTGTATTTTCAAATTAGAAGAGGGCGGAGGAAACTGCCTCTGAATCTTTAGTTCTTGTTTATTAAGGCAGAAACGCTGACTTTATATTTAGTATGAATCACACAGTCATAAGTTGAGGGGCGGACTGGGAGGGGTCAACTTGAAAACAAAAACAAGAATGAAAGACAAGGTGAATCAAGTCGACCTTTCAATGCCCTAACTTGTTTTGTGGGAAGGTCAAAGGAATTTTTACGACTGAAATGGCCAATCCTATAAACTTATTTTAAAAGAGCAGTTGATAGAAAAACTTTTAAGATTGAAAAGCTGTCCCTTGAAAAGACTTTTCAACGGCGGCGGGTCAAATTCCATGAGCGAACAGGTGGAGTTGAACCCGCGGAAAGGGTATGCAAAAAGTTACGCGGCACCGATGTCTCATCTCTTAGTCGCGATGACACAAAAATTAAAATTGCAGCTAGGCGGAAAAGGCAGGAAAAACACGCTAGTCCCAACTATTAACTGAGATTTTCACTGGCATTTTGGCCGGGCCCGTTTGTTTTTGTTTTTCTTCACCATTTTGGCCCTCGCCTAACTCGCGTTTTTTTTTTTTGGGTGTGAGCTGCGCAGTAGGTGCTCCTTACTTGTCTTCCCCCACCGGTATCCACTGGCGGCCACTTTCGGCCATCGCGCAATGCTGTTGTTTTTCAAACGCACCGTCTAATCATCTCACATTAGAGTTTTATTAAAGAATATTTAATTGTTTTTATTTGTATTGTTGAGTTACTAGAGGTGCAGAAACATCGATGCCAACGTCGATGTCAGCGACGTTTTCAGAATATCGGTCCTATCGATGTTTGGCAGGGAACACCGATGTTTTTATGTTCTCTATGAGTGCTGTTAGTGCAGCCCTGGCGAAAGTCGTTAAATTTAAAATTTTCAGTGCTTTTCAAAATGTATATCATATTTGTCTTTGTTTTTTAAAATGTTTCCCTTTTGTTTAGTCTATCAGAACATTTTCCAGATGATCACATGTTTCCAAACGCTTCAGGTAATTTGCAAACTGAATTTCTTGAGTTATTAATGTTGGCATTTTATTGGAAATATAATGCGCAAAGAGTTGTTTTGCAGATTATGATCAGCAGGAGCTTACAACAGAAGAGCGCATAATATCAGTCATTCGAGATAGTTTACTCCGTTTCTTAATTTTGTATTCGTTATTAATTGAAAAGTGTATTTCTACTTTCGTTTTTTTCAGCAGAAAATCAATAGCTAAGGGTATCTTTTGAAACACTAAAGAAAAATGTTACCTTGCTCTCAGACGCAGTGGCCTTCCAGACGGAATTAATTAAGGAATTACTTAACCGACAACAGAATAATGGCATTTCAGAAACTAGCACTTTTAGCTTTCCCTTAAAAACAGAAGAGGATTTGTTCTTAATAGACAGAGATATGGCGTTGGATGCACAAGTCATATATGTAAGTCAATTATTTAATTAAAATGTTATAACCAGCATTGAACAATCTATTGTCTTGCAGATAAATGAAATGAAAAATATATTTAGTCAGGCGACGCTATCAAAATCGTTGAAAAAGAAGAAGAACTGAAGAACTTGTTTTAGAATGTTTAGAAAAATGAAGACTGCAAAAACTGTATGACCGATTTGGATGATAATAGAAGCGATAATTAAAATTCATGGAAATAAAATGATTAGTTAAGAATAAAAAATAATTTAAATATTTAAAAACAAGTTTATGTGAAGTTGTCATGGGTGATTCAGCATTGGTCATTCTTCGGTGATTCATATGGAATCGCAGTGACTCCAAAACCTCGCTTAACAGCACATATCGTGTAGATTGCAGCAAGCGGATCAAAGTGTCGATTTTATATCGATATCCTGAAAATATATACCCCAGAAGTTCGAAGTTTTAAGAACGGATTTTGGAGGCAATTCTGTTAAAGAAACTTAATTAACTATATGATTTTTCACTGCCGTCGTCCTTTCTTCCATTAATTATGTTGTTTTGATTACTTTACTAATTTCTTTCCTATTGATGTCCTTGAGTTTTCCACTTCCAGACAAGTTGCAATGGTAAAGGTCATATCGATAAATTCGTTGCAGTGTGAAGGTACTATAATATCAGTTGACAACCCTTAAAAATCGATTGGGGCTCACACTATTTCCATGAGTTGGTCTCACTACAAAAAAAGGTAAACAAAGTGAAAATTTTGCAAAATGTAAAAATTAATTAAATTAGTCGAAAAACAGGTGCTAAGATAAGCCAACTCGTCCCGAGACCTCAGGAAACAAAGGGCGGGAAATGAACAAACAGAGGATCTGGTGAAACTCATGTAACAAAGCGATGAGTGACTCCGATGAAGGTGAGTAAAATCTTTTAAAACGAGTACTATGCAAGTTATTTGTCTAGTTTTTAACCTGCTTTTAATGCTCATAAGTCCTATCACATATGCAAATTATTTAAGTGGTGCAATTAAATCTCCAACCAGTTGTTATTGGTTTTTCAACAACACCAGCACGCACAGGGTTGCAAGTGAATTGGGCGCGCGAAATTGTTTATTTTAAAATGCCACCTCCCTAAAAAGCAACTGGTGCGCTGCAACCACTGGGCCATTCGACACCCATACAAAAATAAACAAAACTAATGCCACGCATCCAATGCCAGTCCTTGACCACGTGCAACAGTTGCCGTGCTTCTTCGGTCTCGTCTTGCGCAGTGCGACGAATTCCGGCCTGGATCAATGACCACAAAAACGTGGCCCGAGCAACGCATCAATGGCACAGCCATCGATTTTGCCCATCAGTTCAGCTCAGTTCAGTTCAGTTCAGTTTTCGCCAGCGCCGCGTTCGGTCCTCTTCTCCGATGCCAATTAATTTTGGGGGCTCTGTCGCGCTGAATTGGGTTACATAATGTCTTGGAAATTCAGCATGGAACAGCCCAAGCCTGGCACTGAAACCGCTCTGGAGGCTTGCGACTATTTCGTGGATGAGGTCATTGAGGCATCCTCGATACGGGGTGGGCATTGGAGAACGTCCTGGCGTGTTGGCCCATATGTCTAACGAACGGCAAACTCCTCTTTCACAGATGCGCGGGAGGAAGTGCGTCAGATAAAGCACGGAGAGCTGCGGGCGGCAGTAAGCGCCGGAGACGAGCGGACTGTGCGGGTCCTGCTGGCGGCCCTGGGGACTGAGCGGCAGATTATAGTCAATATGGCTCCATCCGGAGCCAATACCCTACTTTTCATGTGAGAAAAAGTCTATTTTAGCTCCTTGCTAGCTTGTCTAATGGCACTTATCTTTCAGAGCCTGCCAGTCGGGCTATGAGAGCATCACCCAGCGGCTGCTGGATGCTGGAGCGGATGGCCGCTCCCATGCCGTCACCAGGTACTCACCGCTTTACGCGGCCGTCCACAGCGGTCACTTGGGCATCGCCCGGCTGATGCTGGATCGCTTCCCGGAGCTCATTCAGCAGCCGACTGTCGAGCGCTGGCTCCCGCTACACGCGGCCTGCATCAATGGACACATCAAGCTGCTGGATCTACTCATCGGCTACAGCTATCCCGACTACCTCTACCAGACATATCGCGACGAGGAGGGCCAGTGGGAGTGGAGACTGCCCTTTGACGCCAACGCCCACGATGTGACAGGTCAGACCAGTCTGTATATAGCCAGCATTCTGGGAAACAAGCAGCTGGTTGGAGTACTCCTCAAGTGGCAGCTTCACTGCCGCCGCACGTTGGGCGATTCCGCCAGCTCGGTGAGCACTCCTATCACTCCGACCAGGAAACGCATTTCGTTTGGCATTCAGGCCATCATGTCCAAGCTGCACATATCTGGTGAATCGGAAGGACCCGAGGACCAGGCTGCCCAGGAGTCCACAGAATGCCAAAGATGTCCCATAAACGTAAATTTGCTGTGTGGCGCGGCAAGGGAAACAGCTCTGCTGGCGGCGGTTCGGGGTGGCCACTTGGATGTGGTGCAGGCCCTTCTGCAGCACGGAGCAAATCCCAATGTCGTGGCTAAGCCAGTGGAGGATCACAACGACCCCAAGTGTTGCGAGGAGATATACGGTCTGAGCAATGTCCCCATTGCCGAGGCCTGCAAGCAAAGGTCGCTAGCAATGTTGGATCTCCTGCTAAAATATGGAGCTCGGGACGAAAATGGTTCGGCCATTGGAATGGCCATCACTGGCGGCGATGAGGCCATCCTGAGTCGCCTCTTGGCCCGCCGCGTCCATCCAGACTCGGACTACAAGATCAACAAGAAGGGCCTACCAACACCGGTGGAGGTGAATGTGTTCTTGCCGTCCACCGGCAACATATCCTACAGCGCCATGTTTCCCAACGTGCCCACCATTATCGACTGGCACAGCTTGGGCTCCAGCGTTCAGTTATCAGTGGTAAGGGTTCCCTGGATGGTCAGCGGAGTGCTGCTCCTGAATCCCAAGCTGCAGTCACACGCCCGTCTTAATGAGGTTGCTCTGACCGCCATCACGCGAATCGACTTCTCGCACAATGTTCTCACAGCAATTCCGCAGGAGTTGTTCCATCTGGTTAGCCTAAAGTGAGTTTAATTTACTTTACAAGGAGTGTACTTTTGCTTCATACATATTAAAAAATAATTCGTTTTACTTTAGGTATCTTAATGTGGCTCAAAACAAGATTACCGATCTGCCCGCGCCGATGGGTAAGGCGTATGCCTGTCCTGTTCTGGACGAGCTTTTCCTGCAGGACAACCAATTAACAACATTACCGGCTGCCATCTTTCACCTTCCCGCGCTTTCTATTCTGGATGTTTCAAACAATAAGCTGCAACAGCTACCCTTTGACCTGTGGCGTGCGCCCAAGCTGCGCGAACTGAATGTGGCCTTCAATCTATTGAGGGATCTTCCTGTGCCGCCGATGCAGACGAGCAGTTCGCTCCTGAGCCTGGACAAACTGCAACTGCAGAGTTTTGAGGAGCCACACTCAAACAAGCCGCGCAACGTGACCCAGCAGCGGCTTACCCATCGGAATTTGTGGTCCGAATCTTTAGACATAACCGACAACGACATGAAGTGGCAGCATGACCAGGATTTCGGAGACGGAAAGACTTCTGGAATGGGCTCTTCACAGCTGAGTAGTCTGAACATAGCGAACAACCTGTTCACCAGCATTCCCGCTGCTCTGCCCTGCCTGGCGGTTAACTTGACCCGACTGAACATGTCGTACAACAGCCTGCGTTCCATGGGCCATGTAACGAGCTATCCGGCCACGCTGAAGCAGTTGGACCTGAGCCACAACGAGATCTCTTGCTGGCCAAGCCTGCCCCGGATAACCGAATCGGATCCGCACCTATTGTGTTACAGTTGTGTCCAGCTGCCGGAGGGTCGGGAGGAGGAGCAAGCCTACAAGACGACCTCCTCGAAGGGCAGCTGCTCCTCCGTCACTTCCTTCCGGGCCTCGGTTTTGAAGAGCGTGTGCCGGCACAGACGTCATCTGCGCCTGGAGGCGCTGCGCACGTTGATCCTGGCGGACAACCTGCTCACACGCATCCAGCTGTCGACTGACGACGCCACAACGCTGTTCAACGAGAGCGAGGACGCCGACTGGAGTGTGGTGGGCGTGAACCGGTCCAAGGTGATATTTCCCAACCTGTCCATGCTGGACATGACCAACAACTGCCTGAAGGAGATCCCCGCCTCGCTGCACGAGCTGAGCAGTCTGTCAGTGCTGAACATCAGCGGCAACGTGAACATCACCGAGCTGCCGCCGCATTTGGGGCTTCTCTCGCGACTTTGGAATCTCAACACGCGCGGCTGCCTTCTGCAGGAGCCACTGCGCTCAATGATCGAGAGCAAGAAGCACAAGACGATGGACATCGTGGGATACCTTAAGTCCATATACGAGGATGCCCAGCCGTACGCGAGAATGAAGCTGATGGTTGTGGGCGTGGCTGGCATCGGCAAGAGCACTCTGCTGGATTTGCTGCGCCAGGGAGCGGGTTCAGGATCCAGCTACAGCTCGCACAGATCTCGCGCCACCGAAAACCATTGGGCCAAGCGAATGGGACACGCGCGCAGCACCTCTCGATCGCACCGTCATTCGTCCGCCTCCAGCGCGAATATATCCACGGTGGGCGTGGACATTGGCACCTGGATCTGTGAGAAGCGGAAGCGAGCGCCCGGCTCCCACGGCCCGGTGGTGTTCCGAACTTGGGATTTTGGTGGCCAGAAGGAGTACTACGCCACCCACCAGTACTTCCTGTCCAAGCGGAGTTTGTACCTGGTGCTGTGGCGCATCAGCGACGGCCACAAGGGGCTGGCCGAACTGCTGCAGTGGCTGGGCAACATTCAAGCGAGGGCGCCCAATTCTCCCGTCATCATTGTGGGCACACACTTCGATGCGGTCGGCGAGTCCATCTCTCCCCAGCAGGCGGAGCAGCTGCAGCAACTGATTCGGGAGAAGTTCATCGCCATTCCCGATGCGGAAAAGATCGGGCTGCCACGAGTGATTGACTCGATCGAAATTAGTTGTCGGTAAGTGCTGAATTCTGAGTGCTTTCTTATTGAAACAAATTATTATAGTAACTGGATCTAATGCAACGATTGTTTTCCATTGTAGTTCACTACATAACATCCACTTGTTGGCCAACATCATTTACGACACCGCCATGCAAT